GTGCGGACACGTCGCATCAAATCCTCACTTGTAGCCTTTGCTGCCTTACGCCCGAGACACTGCATATTCGAGGCCGGGCGCAAACCCTAAAACTTCACGAACCGAGCTTAGTTGTAACTTGCGATTTAAAGGTCTTGAGTCTTAAAGTTAGAGGTGGCCTCGAATGCACAATGTTTACAGCGCAGACTGAAGCATTCGCGGGGCCACACGTTTCGTGTCAGCATCAACATGTCGTTCACCATGTTTTCCTCAGCAGTCGGAAGTTGCCCGGGGGTGTTCCGCATGATGAGACACGACTCCAAATAGCGGCTTCTACACAGAATCCCTCGCAGGAGCCACGTCCATGGCGGAGGCACTCCGCTCAACACGGGGTCCATGACTACACTTGTTTGGACGGGTCTCCCTCCTTGCCAGCATTGCCATCTGTAGGCCAATAAGTTTCTTCGGTGGGGCCATGAAGCCACAGAGTCAGTAAGTAACGGGTTCCCGTGCAACTGGTTAGACGAAACAAAATCCGCAACAAACTTTGGGTACGTCGTGGTTCTTTCAAGCCACTAGAATTGCGTGAAAGCGATAGGATCGTCGGAAAAGCATCGCCGAAGTACTGCCCCGCAGGACCTTTGTAAGAGCTTGGTTGTGGCAGCGGCCGTGGTCGAGAACGAGGCCATTGAGCGCGACCGTGCCGGTGTCGGGATCTCAGCACGGGCTGAAAAATGCATTCCTTGGCCGCCCTAGCCGTTCCGGCACAGGGCCGAACTCGTGACACGACATTGAAACAGACGTTAACAAAGTAGCCGAAACATCATCCCAAGCCTTACACCTCAGGATGTGGCGACAGCCCTGAAAAAATACGAGGAATGCCATCGCCTGAGCCGAGTGCATTCCCCCAAGCACTCTTTCGCCTAGTGAAGGTTTGGCCTCGCCGCCTAAACGGCTTTCACCTGCTTGCAGGCCAATCACACTTTGATCCCTGTTGCTTCCCGTGCAGTGAAAGGGTTAGGAGTGGCCATGCTGTCGGAAGCTTGCAAGCAGCAAACAGACCTAAGGTGTTCAGCACCTTGAGCATCCCTGAAATCCTGCAACAAAACCCTGATAAACATCATCCTAGCCCCACAAGGCCGGTCAAAACCCGTACTGTAAACTGCAATAGCCCCGCCGCAGCAAAAACACAGCCCTGGACGGTCCCATCAAGGCAAAATCGAGCCAAAAGACGTACTTGGTTGCATCACCGCCAAGTGCAGAAAGTGTCAAGGGAATTGGTGGGGATGGGAAGTTATTTTGAAAGGTAGATGTCAAAACCCTCGGTTACAGAGGTACTGGGAGTGGTAGTACATAAACGCCCTCAAGGCACCGTCGAACTCGAAGCTTTCAAGCTCGCTGAGGTCAGGGACTCCTTGCCCGTGCCATCGCCGCAGCGCTGCCCACGCACCCGGAGGCCAGGCGCTGATTGCGCAAAAAACTTCAAAAGGAATCAGCCACAAGAGGCTGGCGTGTGATGTGCTGCGGCTTGGTCCACGGCCACGGCCAGTTAGGCTACAGCCTTCGCATGAAGCTGCCTGAAGAAGCAGCACCTAGTGACCACAGGACCATCCCAAACTGGTGCAGCACCGCGAGGAGGCAAGTGCAAGCCAGCGTTACTGTTGGTTTTGTCGTGCTCTTCTCAAGCAGTACGAACGCTCCTAGGCCGGCGCAGGGTATGCAATTCACTCAAAAACAGAGCCTGCGACCCTCTTGAGTCCAAAGCTGTGGAGATTTATCTGACGACCTTCCCATCCGAACGCCAGCGACGCAAGCACACTTCGGAAATGCTCAAAATCTTCCTGCATGCACAGCTTCTGAGACAGTTTCGGTGGGCCGTGCCGAAGCTTTCTCATGAAGCGTAATGTTATGTCAGCGTGTCTGGAGCGTCATCTTGTAGTAACAGTGCAGCACCATGAGGCTAACATGAAGCATCTGCCTCACAAGCAACCAGAAGCGGCAGTAAGACACGTTGACTCGGTGATGATGCGGCCACTAGCTTGCATGGCACTAAATTAATCTGCTTCAACGTTTTTCCACGTGGACAGTCCAACCACAAGTCACAAGCTCCAAACCTCCAAGAGCCATGCCAGGTGTTGACCCGGATTCAGCACCTGAAATCCTCCTCGGGGCCTCCGGCCATTCCAGCTGTGCACTTGGAGCACACGCGTTTCGGGCTCTCCTCTTCGATTTCGAAGCTTACTTTGGATGCCCCGAGAGGGTTTCACGGTACTTCTGTTGACTGTACAGGCTGTCTAGGTGCTCGCCATGGTGTTGAGACAGATTTCCGACTGAGAAATATGCCTCTGACGGTGTGAAGTCCACCAGGCTTAGCGTTGGGGTCGTATGAAGCCCACTGAACAGCTGACGACTCAAGGTTGAGCAGCAGCCGGTGCCTTGGAGGGTGCCCTTGCATTTGCTTAGGAAGTCTCGGGGCCTTCAAGATGGCACGGGGCATCAGAGCTGAGGAGTCAGGTAGTTGCACAGAGTTGCACACGGGTTCAAGCTCGAGCACAGCCGGGGTGGCGCCAAGGATTCGAGCAGTTCAACTTGGAATGCAGGCGGCAGGGTGCATGAGTTTTGCACCGTGCGGTCGTTTGGGGCTGAAGGTTAAGGCTTCGTTTGGTGGCTTTGCCCGTCTTGCGCGAGTTTGAGCCCATGTGAACTTGGCTGTTCGTGTTGTGGATTGCGATGACCGTCCAAGCCCTAAACCCCAAAATGCAGGTGGCTTCCTGTCAGATCTGGAGTCCGCTGGGGGAGGGCCTTTGAAACCTCGGCCTGAAGAGTACGTAAGCAGGCAGTGGAGAGAAACTTTCAACATCGCGTTCCGTGGTAAATTAGATCATGCAGATCCCGAGACGGTGAATCTGTCTCACGACCTTTCGTTGCTTTGCTTCGGGAAGCTCTTGCATGGACTCAAAGGACACCACAGAGTTGCGACTTAGACCGGAGAGGGGCGCTCGACCCTTGCGGTCCTCCAGCAGTGGCTTTGGGTGAGGGCCCGTTTCCCGCAGCCTTTTTCGAAACGCTGCACAAGAGATTCTGTTCTTGTAAGTCTTCGCAACTGTTTTTTCATCGTTTACGGCAGTGACGATCTTGCAGCGGATATCTCTGAGTGCTCACAAGCTGTCATCGTGAGACTGCGCAGGTGGCAAACGATGCCGGGCGCGCTGCGACAGCTGCAGGTTTGCTGCTCAGGTGCTGTAAGGCATTCAGGCTCCGAGGACTGAGGGCTCAGAGATTTGCGAGCTGTTTCGAAACATCCAGTCCGGTCTCGCATGCTGGCAGGTTCACAGGGGCCCCTCTATTTGTAATTTCAAGTTTTGCGATCATGAGAAGTCAGTTGTTGGATTAGGCAAGACGCCGAGTGGAAAATACCGCTTGGGTAGGCTCGAATCCTTAATGGCAACAGCACCTCGAAGCCTCAACGCATCAGACCCCTATGATCCAGCATGGTGCATGCTCTCACGACAATGGTTCCTCCCTGTTCTCTTTTTGTGCTCGGCCGGACTTCTACTCCCGTGTTGCACAGCGTTGCAGTTTTCATTCTGAGGGGGAATGAAGCAGATGGCGGCTGTGGCCGCAGTCGGCGCAGTCGGCGGTGCAGTGGTCACAGCCTCGCCGCGGGTGCGGGAAGGGCAGGGAGGTGGTTGGGTCGGAAGGTCGGTTTTTGGTTCAGGGATCAGTGTCTTGGCTATTGCCATGAGTAAGGTCTTGCCGTTTCAGGCATGAGCACCTCGACGAAAGCGCACCATCTCGAACTAACAATCCTCAGCTGCCAGGTTGAACGCCGTACCTAGCGACCTAGCCCAGGACCCGAGGAGCTAAACTCCCGCCCCAACTTCCGGAACCACATCTTCAGCCTGGGGCCGAAGGGCAGACCAAGTCATGGTCAAACCTCCTGAACTGCAACTGGTACTCTTCTTTAGTGTTGAAAGGCCCTAGCAGAGGGCATAGCAAGCCCTCTTCTGAATCTTCGCATCCGCCAGGATTCAATCGCCCCTTGAAAGTCATGTTCGGGATATTGAGTGGATTTCCGATCTGCTGCTGAGGCTAGTAGCCTGTCCAGACAGGCAAGGTTAAGGAGACCAGACAAAAGGAAAGCTTATCCTATGTCGGAAAAGCTTGTGGTTAGAAATGCCATTCAAAGCTCGGCCGTCAGGCTTTTCAAATGCCGCAGGCGCTTCAAGCCCCAGGCAGCAGTTCCTGGAAACCTTTGCGGCAAGGATTGCACATGCTCAGATGTCCCAGGTCTTGGGCAGTACCCTTGGCTGCTTCGTGACAGTGGGCGCACGGCTCGGCGAGAACAGGATGTTGGGCTTGCAGTATTTGCAGTGTTTGAGGGTTTCTAGGCCTGATTCAGCCTTTGAGGGCTTCTAAGCTGGAGCCTGACTTCACCTCAGGGCGACCTCTGAGCTGCAACGCTTCGGGGTTTGGACTGATGGCTTCTTCGGGTGGACGATTTCTTCAAAAGTACGGAAGCCTGCGTTGCTCGATGACTGTCGACTTCTTTGTTCGTCTATTCTCTGCCGGGCAGCTTCCCGCGAACCCTGCCAATCACGTCCGTTCTTTACCGCACTGAGAGCAGCCGCGTATGCTCGGGGTGTCGCGAGCACCTCTCGACGACCGGTCACCGAATCATCCACACACATTTGTCGCTGACCCCCAGCCTCTCCCACCGTCAGCGAGAGCTTCACCAGAGAGCAGTTGTTGAGGCGCCGTCGGTGGAGCTGCAGCCGCCCGGGGCCCCGCAGAGCCGAGCAGTTGTTGGGATGCTGAGATGCCGCAAGAGAGGGTGTCCGTGTGTTCTCTGTAGTGTGCGGAGCCTTCGAAAGGCAGCACTGGTCCAGCGCTGCAGTGTGAGCAGCAATCTCACAATAGCTGGAGCCAGTACCGGTAGGAGTGCGCATTAGCCTCCGCAGCTTGGTTCGAGACGGGGTAGACCAGGCGAGGTCCGAGGTCCCTCTTCGAAGACACACAGCATGGCTGCATCGGTTGAGGCCCAGCCTTCCGTCGACGATCTGGAAGCAGCATTGAAGGAGCTCGCAGCCATGCTCAAGCTGTCGACGGTCGAGGCTGTCCGACGGGATCTTCAGAAACTGCAGGCCTCCTACGCCTCAGAGCTGGCTGCGGACAGAGCAGCGGGAGCACCGCAAGGCCGAGGCAAAGAGACCACCGAGACTGGCTCCGAGAGCACGGAGACAGAAGCAAAGCGTGTGGCGTGGCGAGAGAAGATCTCGAAATATCTCAGTGGACAGGACGATGCCACCCAGGCCGCCATGATCCAGAGGGAATCGGAAGTGTGGGAAGAAGAGGACAAGCTGCCGGTCACCCTGCTGAGCGGCTTTCTGGGTGCCGGAAAGACAACTTTGCTCACGCATGTTCTGAACAATCGCGAAGGCATGCGTGTGGCTGTGCTTGTCAACGACATGGCATCCGTCAATATCGATGCAGATCTCGTAAAGGATGGGGTCGAGCTACAGGAGAACAAGGACAAAATGATTGAGCTCCACAACGGCTGCATCTGCTGCACCCTCCGCGAAGACTTGATGGAAAGCGTCAAGTCCTTGGCAATGGAGAAGCGTTACGAGCATTTGATCATCGAGAGTACGGGAATATCGGAGCCGATGCCGGTGGCCACAACGTTTGCCGCTGCCGACGCGCAAGGTCGTCCCTTGCTGGGAGGAGTCGCGCGTTTAGACACGCTCGTCACGGTCGTTGACTGCAGAAACTTTCTGAAGGATTATTGCTCCAGCGACAAACTGGTCACCAGGGAGGAGCTGGGGGCTGAGGAAGGGGACGAGCGAAGCATTGTCAACTTGTTGGTGGACCAAGTGGAGTTCGTGAATGTGATAATCCTCAACAAGACAGACCTCGTTAGCGCTGTGGAGCTGGGTCGCTTGAAGGGAATCGTGAGGAAGCTAAACCCGAAGGCTCGCATGCTCGAAAGCCAATATGGGAAGGTGAGCCCAGCGCTGCTCCTGAACACGCACAGCTTTGACATGAGGGAAGCAAGCATGGCACCTGGTTGGGCACAGGAGCTGATGGGAAATCACCACAAGCCGGAGACGGAAGAGTACGGCATCTCCAGCTTCATTTACCGTGCCGACAGGCCCTTCGACCCCGAGCGTCTGGCGAGCATGTTGCAGACTTACTCCTTCCCTGGCGTGCTACGCTCCAAGGGCTACGCCTGGTCCTTTGGCAACTCGGAGAATGCAATCGAGTGGAGCTCGGCGGGTCTCACGGCGGATCTCAAGCCAGGTCCCAGGTGGCTGGTGGTCACTACACCACCAGACCAGTGGCCCGCTGAGGCCCAGAAGAGGTACAAAAACAAACCTTTCGGTGACCGACGTACTGAAATCGTTTTCATCGGTGCCGACATGGTCGAGTCCGAGGTCCGTGAAGCGCTCGATGCTTGCCTGCTGTCGCAGCAGGAGTTCCAGGCACATTCTGTCGACAAAACTGGGGCACGTCAGAGGTCGTGAGCAGGGGTACAGAGTCCGCATGCATGGCCACAAAGCGGGCAAATGAGGTGGTGAATCTTTCTTGACTATCTGTCAGTCAGCCCATGAGGACTCGTGAGGCACAATTTCTTTAAATTAGCAGTTTTGTACAGGACACGCCATGTTGTGCACACCGCGACCCTCTCGCTCTCATGCCAACAGGAATCGTCACTAGCAGTAGTCCTCGTAGTCGTGGTCGTCGTAGTAGTGGTAGTAGCAGTAGCAGTAGTGGTAGTGGTAGTGGTTTGAGCACTACTATTCCTACTGGTTTAAACTACTAGTACTACTAGTGCTGTGAAGCTAGCTTGAAGCTGTCGCCCAAAATTCGGCAGGCCAGCCAGGAACACTTGCATTTGCCGGGGTGTCTTCGCCAGTGTAACCCTACGAATCATGGTCGGCAAGACTGCGAGGCCAAGCAACGCGAAGCCTAGACGACACAATCGCAAAGCCCCCAGCCCGGCAATCTTGAACGGACACCCCACGCACTTGAGAAAGGACTCTTTGCACTGCCTGAGCCTTCAAGCCTACCACCTGGAGCAAAGGCTGGCATGGCCGCAACGCGTTCCGACAAGGCCTTTGTATCCCCTTTCCCAACCCCCCCCCCCCCATCGTCCCTCCCAAATCTGCCGTCGTGGCTTCTAGGAGCTGGCTCCACTATCGAAGGAGCTGCCGTTTTCATGTATCAAAGTGGAACTTGTCTTGTCCGTATGCATGCAGGAAAACGTTGGGCCACGGCACCCCACCCGAAACAGCGAGTTCCGAAACTCAGGAGCCCCGAGCGGGACCCGCCGGTTTGGAGATGCCCTGCCCAAGTGAGTTGACGTTGATAGCAGGTGAGGTCGGCGACGAGAGATATTTGTCGGGATTTCGTGTTAGATGTTTCAGCGCTAACAAACGCATGGTATGCGGGTGAAGAGGATATTGGAAAACAAAGCGCGAAATCAACACAACAAATTCGGAAAACACGGAGGGGGATTTCCGAAAACGGCCGGTCAGGCTGGCAAAACCGGAGTCAGAAAACAACGAAGACGATATCAGAAAGCAGCCCAGAATCAGAAAACAAAATCAGAAAACAGGAAAGATAAAGTCAGAAAACGGATGTAACAAAAAATCAGAAAACAAAAACCAAGGTCCCGGTACCGAAGGAAGGCCGCGGTCCTTTCACCCCTCGGTTTTCGCCCACAAAGTGGGAGGTGAAGGAAGACCGCGCTGCTTCCATCGTTCGGATTTGGCCACAAACCGAGAGGCGAAGGAAGGCCGCGGTCCTGTCACCCTCGGTTTTGGCGACAAACAAGAAGGCCGTGCTCCTTTCACCTTCTGTTTTGCACACAAACCAGAAGGTGAATGAAGGCCGCGCTCGTTTCACCTCTCTGTTTTGGCCACAAACCGCGTGGTGAAAGAAGGCTGCGCTCCTTTCACCCCTCGGTTTAAGTGAAGGAAGGCCGCGTTTTTTTCACCCTTCGGTTTTGGCCACAAACCGAGAGGTGAAGGAAGGCCGCGGTCCTTTCACCCCTCTGCTTCGGCCACAAACCGAGAGGTGAAGGCCGCGCTCCCCCCTCGGTTTTGGCCACAAACCAGGAGGTGAAGGCAGGCCGCGCTCCTTTCACCCCTCTGCTTTGCCCAGAAACCGAGAGGTGAAGGAAGGCCGCGCCCCTTTCATCCCTGGTTTTGGCCACAAACCGAGAGGTGAAGGAAGGCCGCGCTCCTTTTCACCCCTCGGTTTGGGCGACAAACCGAGAGGTGAAGGAAGGCCGCGCTCCTTTCACCCCTCTGTTTTGGGCGCAAACCCGATCGGCGAAGGAAGGCCGCACTCCTTTCATCCCTTGGTTTTCTTCGGTTTGGTCACAAGCCAAGAGGTGAAGGAAGGCTGCGCTCCTTTCACCCCCCTGTTTTGGTCACAAACCGAGTGGTGAAGGAAGACTGCGCTCCTTTCATCCCTCGGTTTTGCCACAAACCGAAAGGTGAAGGAAGGCTGCAGTCCTTTCACCCCTCGGTTTTCGCCACAAATCGAGAGGTGAAGGAAGGCAGCGGTCCTTTCAGCCTTCGGTTTTGGCGACAAACCGGGAGGTGAAGGAAGGGCGCGCTCGTTTCACCCTTCGGTTTTGGCCACAAATCCAGCAATGCAGAGCGGGGCTTCTGTACAGAAGCGCGGTCTCCAACAACGTGGGAATGCTCACGCGAGTGACCCCGTCACGCCATTGCAGTGGTTTTTTTTGCCTTTCGTTTGTCCTGTTTTATGATTTTCGCCCGCCCTGTTTTCTGAACCGGTCCGTCGTGTTTTCTGATATTGTCCGTCTGGTTTTCTCATGTTTGTGCGTCCGTTTTCCTGATTCGGCTGTCCGTTTTCCGATTTTGTTCTCTGATTTGGTCCGGTGTCTTCCGATCCGTTTTCCAATTTGTTTTTTGATTTCCTCCGTATCCCATGGTGTGCTAATGATCAAAACGACCACGACGATCAGCTGCGGCAATAGCAGCATGGTGATCTAAATTCTGGTTTTCGAGCGCTGTAATTGAAGCTTGAAGCATGCATTGAAGCCTGATGAAAAGCCTGTTTTGGCAGATTGGTGATGCTGCTCGCGGGGTTGGCTCCATGGCACTCAAAGGCGTCGACAAGGCCGTTTCAAAGACTGACATCCACCTTAGGGATGATTCTCCTTTGCAGCACATGGCATTCTCAGGACACAGTGGCAGTATGAAATCTTCTTGCGAGAAGCCTCCCCAGTATTGACAGCTGTTTGCCTTTAATACTACAGACTGTGATATGGTAGAAGAAGCATCGTAGTTAATTTAGCTCTCGTGTATTCGTTGCTGTTGCCGTGGTGTTCTGCCTGTTGTTTTTATTGTCGTATTCGAGCTGTAGGTGCAATACATTGTCCGTCGTCGTTGTCGTAGCTCTACATCCGAATGGCACGGCAGTTTCAGTCACAGCTCTTCACAGCAGTGAAGAGAGGCACTTCCGGATGTACTGGGGCACGAGTCACGAGGGTTATTGAGTTTTTTGGGCCGGGGAGATTGCCGTCAGTTTCCACATGCTGCAGCCTGTAACTTTAGGATTCGGCTCCGCAACTGTAGGGGTGCGACACAGTTCTCCACCCATAGTGGGGCTGTCAGATTGTGTGGACAGATGATAGCAGCCAGAGGCTCAGGCCCCCGAGTGCACCGAAAACAGCTTCTGCACGCACCAAAAGCAGCTACACCGAAAACAACTTCAGCAGTGAAGGTCAGTGGACCGGAAAAGATATTTGTGGGCACCAATAGCAGCCTGTGGAGGTGTCAAACTGCCTGAACCCCTACTAACCCCATTAAACCTGAGAGGGCTTGTGGGTGCAGTGTTTCGGTTTCATAGTCTAGAGTTCAGGGTTTAGCCGGCATACACACAGGCCGTAAATACAAAGACAAACTTGCAACAAATGTCTACACCAAACCAAAATATGGATAATACGAGGTGTCAGCTTGGGGACAAGGTGGGGATGATAGTTGTTGTTTCGTCTACATCCCCTTTGCAAAAACGGGCTCCAATCCTTGAAGCCTCTTTGGTGTGTGTTTCTCGGGTTGGTCAAGAGGCACGTGAGATCGACCGCGAGCACGACATCACGGGAAAGATGGTGCACGCTGGGACAAAGGCCACGGTACGGCGGGCGGCAGTGGTTCATGATTTGCTGTGATTCGGGTTCTGGGTTTATGGGCGGAGCCTTTGTGCTAGATGCAGAACTTCCCATCCCCGTCTTCACCATAGCCGAGTCTCGCTTGCCTAAGCCCGCCCAGCTGCAGGCTGTCGAAACAGCATGCACCATCAATCAGCAGTACGGCATCATGGACAAGGCTGACTAGAGAAGCGACTCTGAACTTACGGCCTCGTCAGGTTTGTGAGTCCTCTGAGGGTGAGACATGCGTGCGCGCCCCACTACCTCGCCATCCGAACCGTCGACCTCAATCCCGGAAGCGGAATCCGGCTTTCCCGAAAGTGTGCGTCGTCTCGCAGAAGCGATCCAAGCTTCGCGCCAAGTCTCAGCGCGAATGTCGAGAGGCGGTAGCTTGACTGTTCTTGGCAAGTGACATGGATGCTGCAAGCAGAGCCATCGGACAGTGTAGGTCGTTGGAACCCTAAGCCCTAAGCTCTGAACCACAAACCCTAGCTGGCCCTAGCTGCCCAAGCGAAGCGAAGCCTTGCCTTCGAACCTTGTGCAGGTGTCCAAAGGCATGTCTGCTGCAGTGGCGAAGGTGGCTCTTACAGGGTGCTTGCTCTGGGACCCTCGGCCAGTGCTGCCACGACTTCGGTGGTCACTTTCGCTTTGTGTGCACGCTGCAAGATTGTCTATCTAAGGGTCCAGGTGTGCCTGCAGCATGCTGCTGGAACTGCAAGTTGAAGCATCAGCGCAGGAATGCAAGCACTGAATGCGCTGATCCGTCGAATGGTCCTGATGCAATTAGGCTATGTCTGCGGCCGTTTCATGCACGAGGGCTTGGAAACAGGTTGCGTCTCGACGCCGCTGACAGCCTTCGCCATGTGTGATCCTGCATGGTGAGCCTGCGCGGCGCGGGCAGCAAAGGCCTACGAAAGCGATGCTCGTGATGATGCACTGGTCCTCGAAGTCAAGGCCATCACGCGACCAGCTTTGAGGTCTCACAGCTGGGTGTTGCACCCGTGACCGTGCAAGTGGCCGCAGGTATTGGCCAACTTGAAGCCGTTTGACTTGGCAAACACCATGAGCGTGCATAGTACCGCAGGCGCACGTGGCTCGTCACTGGACATTCCTTGGGTGGGGCTATGGCCGTGCTCTTCGCATTATTCTGCATGGAGAATGGAAACAGCGTGTGAAGCTCGTTACATTTGGAGCTCCTTATATTATAGGCTGCTCGCTATGAGCTGCCATGCTGGTACGCATGCAGAAATCTGGAGTGTTGTCACGTGACAGACTTGTGAATACAGCTGATCCGTTGGACGCCTTTGGACTTGACTACCCATGGCAACCACTGAGGTTGACTTTGGTGACTGTGGCTTTCTTATCCTGCACCGGAAGGCATGGTTCGCATGGCCAAGAGCACACGAGGCCCACAAGAGAAGATGCAGGCACTTGTGGCAGGTGCAGAGAACGAGCAGTCTCTTACTGGCTCGCGGTTCTTTGCAGATGCTCAGTCGCATTCGCCTACAAGTTGTATGCTATGTTTCCAGCTTCATGGCCGATTTGCTTTGACCAAATCAAAGCCTGGAGGTCGGATAGCATCTCCGGCACGGACCGCGCTTGAAGTCTCTTCGGTGCAGCCATTGAGGCAGGTTGTGGTGCTGCTAGAGCAGTTGTTGGTGCTTTGGCTACAACAGCTATTTGCACTGGAATGTTTGGTCCTTTGATTTTCTTTGCTGTTGGTGGAGCTGCAGGCACCTGGGCAGGGAAGAAGTTGCGAGGTTGGTACCAAGAGTTCTTTGGTGAAATGAAGGATCAGTCCTTGCTGGCCGTCTACCGGGAGCTTGGCATCCCGAGCTCTTCTTCAGACGAAGAGATTCCGAAGGCTTGCAGAAACTTGGCAAAAACAGCGCCACCGGGACAAGGGCCGCAGCAAAGAACACTTCCAGCAGCTACACAACGCTTATGCCGCCATCATGGCCGATCGGAATCGTGCTGTGCCAGCCGCCAGCCGACATTCTGGATCCCTCTGAGATGAATTCTAAAGAGATCAGGGCCATAGAGGACGCTTGGGACATTGGGCCTGAACTCTCGCACGGTCGGGAGACGACAGTCCATAACCTTGCTCGGCTTCCCGACTACGTGCAAGTGCGCAAGAGGAAGTGGCTGCAAGGAATCTTCCTGGAGGAAAAGATGAGGCAGGCGTCCCTTAAGAAAGACGTACATAAGGCGGAAAGGAGATTGGTGTACAAGACCTTGAACGTGCAGGAGGGCTGTTCGAAGGAGGAGGTGCAAAAGGCCTACAGGAAGCTCTCGGCCAAGTATCACCCGGACAAGCAATCCGTGTCGAAGGTGCCATCTGAGCAAGCCTTCAAGAGGTTGACGCATCTTTACCAGAAGATCAAGGAAGATTTCACTGTTGAGGAGGTAGACTTTGGAGACTCCGACAGCGTCACCCGCCAGGAGACCGGTTGCACCTCTGAGACGTCGTCGAACGATGGGCCCTCCAGCAGTCGGGACGAGGCCGAAGCAAGCTCTGAGTCGCGGCTACAGCTACAGGAACACTATGCCGATCTCTTAGAGGCCTGCAGGATACTTCCTTGCAATATCGTCAACTTACAAGCTGAGCTACATGCCCTTCTTTTTGCCATCCCGGATCTCAATAGTGCGGGGCATGAGAACTGCGTTTGTTTGCAGTATCCGCACGGGAGAGCGAGACTGGAGCCAGGTTGGAGCCACGTTGAATGTGGGCCGACCCTTGTGGATATGATCTGAGTGTAGCTGCGACGGGCGGCCTTGCACCTCGCATTAAGAGGACCGAAGACACCGCAGTAAAGGCAAAACCGTCGACCGGTCTTGCATCAGGTTGTGTGAGATGCCTGCCACCACGTCTGCGATGCGCTGTCTTCCTTTCCAAGCACTTGTGGTTTGATTTTTGCCAGTGTTTCCAAGTAGAAAGTCACGAATGTTTGTTCTGATCTTTTCAAAAAGCCCCTCAGCGCAAGGCACACGATGTGGAAGAGAAGCACCACGTCACCTCCAAGGTGTGCGTTGATCGTGAAGATTTGAGCACTTGTAGCCGGAGTACTGGCTGTCGATTGCAGATTACCGGAGCTACTAGTAGCGGGAGGAGCCTTACTCTAGAATCGCTAGAAGCCTTCGCACAGTGACAGTCTCTTTAGAGGTTCTTGAAGCCCCAGGCTTTTTCCGAAAAAGGAGCCACGCAAGAGCCTTTGCCTTGGGCTTCGCCTCTTCGCAGGTCGCGTCCGGGTTCTCCCTGGGCCTCTCCAAAGCCGCCCAGGGCTTCGAGAAGCTCACCGAGGCGAACTTGGGCTGTTGCTTTTCTGAGGGGATTTGGCTTTCGGGGGGTCTAAGGTTACGGGGTGCCAGAATGAAGGCACAGGACACGGGGCTTCAGAGCGGCCCGGATCAGTACTAGGGCTTACTTACTGCCGGGTATTCTTGGTTCGGGGGGCGGGGTTTGGCATGTTCGTTTACTTGCTAGGACTGACTCATCTTCAGCGGCGATACCGAAGAAGCTACAGGATTCACAGGACTCTGCGGGTTCGGTCATGCAGGTTCAATCTCATGAGCAGTACTGTCTCTGGGCATGTATGAGTATTCAAAATCCGCTGTCACTAGAGCAGGGTTTTAGATTTCAGAGTATATTGTGATTCAGGCTTCTACAGAGAGGATGCTTTCCGATCTCCCGCCATCCCCGAAACTCCACTGCCACGCTGCTGCCTGTGGTTTCACTCCTAGGCTGGAAACTTGACCTGTTTTTTTCGGCCAGAGATTTCCGTTCTTACAGGGCTTGTCTAGGACTAGGAGGCCCTCAGACGTGCTGAGATACCTCAGCAGAGCGTCCATACGACAAGCAAGTTCCATCTCCTGTTCCCGGTAGTTCCGGAGCACAGACTCCATCAAACCCACTGGTAAGGGAGCACAATGGCAAGACATCCCCCGATCACCAGCAGTATCCTTAGTGTGTCTTGTTTCATCTCGCTGTTCGCTGATGTATCCACGCCCGCATGCATACAAATAACACACCGGTCTACAGGTTTCCCGTAATCATAAGGTGCGCAATGCAACAGCAACACCTCTACATATGCATGTGTATAATATGTTTTTGTTTTCTTTATTGGTGTACGCAGAGAAAGGGCGTTAAAGACATGGGAGAAGATGACGATATGGATGGATAGACAGCTCCTGTAGGGTCGCTGCACTAGCTTGTGTCTCAGTCTCCCACCTGCCAAGATGCCTTGTGTTGGCCAGCCGTGCCTTTGCATTCCACGCAACCCGAGACGGTCGATGCTTCACATGTTCTTGCTGATTTTTCGCCGCCTTTGATCTCAATGCATAACGTTGTACAGCCTGCAAGCTGTCACTGCATTGCTTGGGCTGAAAATGAGAGCCAGGCTCCCCCAAAATCAGGCGGTTCCAAGCCGAAGACAACTACAGGATCTTGACCAGGCGAGAATCCGCCGCTAAACGTCAGAGGCTTGAAAACATGCTACAGCAGAGCTCTTTAACAGCTCAGGCCGCTTCTTCCGGTCGGCGCCCGTCTCAAGGCGGAGGGCTCCATGGGTTCTTCGTGGCCTCAGGATGACCTCTCGAGTTGGTTTCACGCAAGCCGAGCAAAAGCCCAAGCAATGCCCCAATGCAAGCACCGAATCGCGGAAAGATGTCGCAGCTGGGAGGTGGAACTGGATATGCCAGCAGCGCTTAGGAGCCACACTGACGGGCTGTCATCAGTTTAAGCACAGAAGTAGCATTCAAATATCGGGCCACCCTTTTGATTCAAAGGATCACAGAAGTCTCAGCATTCGAACCTGCGTTGGAGCCGACTTCAGGCTGAACTTCTCGTGTTGCTGGGCATCACTCAATCGCCCTCTTAAGGCAAGTACTTGTCATAGCGATGTTGTCTTGCACCGACTGGGAAAGATGGGAGGTGCCGCATTTAAGCTTTTGTGAAGATACGCACTTTAGCAAAGCTTTTGTACCTGTGCCAAGCTAGGCCCTGATTTGAGAGCTACGAACGGAGAGGCTGCACAAGCTAAGCTTGGCTGTACAGTGCTGCTTGTCACACGCAGTGGCTGTTGATCAGGCGCTTTAGTTGTCGGAATGAGAACGAGTGTTGGCATCTTCACGTCCGCACCAGGTTGGATCAGACAGCGTCGTAATCAATGCATAGGTCTTTCAGTAGGGTGCCCTTGGAAAGATCTATATCTCTATCTATATCCCAAACATGAGTCTTCTTAGGATAGGTTGTCGTTTCTTTTCCAGTTCAGCTCCAGTGTGAAGAAATCTCCCCATCCTCGAGGTTCCTGCTTACCTACGAGTAGAGCCAGCACCTGAGGCTCGAAACTCTCCTTGGGTCCTTAGACTCCCTTTGTGAGGCCCGTTAGAGTCATCAGGGCATGATCAACACCCCGTCTCTCGGCAAAGCTCACATGCGAGAGCACATCAACGAAGCCGCGGAAAAGTTTCTGAATATGCTGCTTTCCTTTCAGATATCCTAAGTGCCGACGTGTTCAGAGCCGTGCGATCAGCAGCGTGGAGCATGACGAGTGAGGTACTCGTGTTCGTCGCTGACAGGCCTCTTGTCCTAGTCCTGCAAGACATGCTGCCCTGGGGCCTGACTTCAACTGCGGCTTTAGGCGCAAGTAAAAACGGCATTTTTCAACTCAGTATTTCTCCGATGGCACACAATGGTGATATACCACTTGTCGCACGCTGCAGGGCTAGAGCTTCAACCGAGACTCTGTCGGCAGATGTCTTGAGTGTACTCTATTTTGCACCAAAAGAGGCAAGTCAGAGGGGTTTCCGACATTTGACTGTCACGCTTTGTGCTTGAGCCTCAAGCGTTAGTACGAGCAATGAGTCATCTTGAGAATAAGAATGCGACTAAAGAAACAGAAGGCATACTAGATGGCAAACAGCGAATGCTACATCGAAGCTCCTGCGTGCCTCGTTCATCTGGGCCCTTCACCCGAGCCCAACCACCGGGATGCCAGCCAAGAGCAATCTGGTCGGACTAGGCCTCCTGAGCACAACTCACTCACACCACTCACCACCCACGTACACGGCCAGCTTTGTGCCGAATGGCCCTTTGTCAGTGCTGTCTGGTCGCGGAGACAGGCGACGGGTATGAGGAAGTCAAGGAAAAAATTGACAATTTAGTTGGCTCTGGGATTAGCAGCACACATGTGTGGCATCAGTCTTGTTGGCACTGTGGCTGTTGTTTCCATCATGGCGACATTACTCGCCTGTTGAGAAAGTGGCCTTGCTGTGTTCAAGAGGAGGCTCTCTTGGTTCAGTTGCTGGGCATTCTAGGTGCACATGTCACTGCTGCCTTGTAGATCTGCAGGCTCCAAAGTCGAGTCTGCCTCTTGAGACCCGGGCTCGGAGCTTAGAAAGGATGTGATTTTACTCTTACACTACGGGGGGAGGGCCACTTTCGTAGACATGCCGAGCGAAAGTGCAACGGTAAAGACTGCAACAGGGGGCAGATGGGCAGATGTGGTAAAGCCAAAGGGACATAACTTAATTGCTTTGCGCATACCAAGAGCAGCGGCCCTGAGAATGCAAAGAGCTTGCCAGGGCCAAGTCTTCTGACCGGCGCCCATGCCGGAGGCGGCTCGATGAGATGCGCTTTCGTCCCATCCATGAACCTCACCCCTTTCGAGGATGGCCCCCTTTGTGACATGGGTAGGAACCTGAAAACTTGCGAGACAGGGATTGCGGCGAACTTCACGTTTAGCCTCCTTGCACAGGCTCGCAGGGTGGCGCCGGCACCCGACCGGCAGGCCAGGCGTGGGACATGTGGGGGGTCTCCGGTCTCCTTCCTCGGTTCTGTTGTGGCGTTGTCCTAGACATGTGCAGTGACTTTGACTTCAGTCCCATACTCCTCCCCTGCCGCAGGATCGCTCGCCACGCACGATTACAATGACAAGGCTCTGCGCCCGGCGGAGAAGCCCTTGGGGGGCGGTGAAGCCGCGCCGCTTACGATTCCCATTCCTACAAGCAAACATGAGTCGTACACTTCCGCTGTTCTCCTTGCACACTCTCGGCGGCCCCAAAACACCTCTAAGTTTCCTAGCAGTTTTTTTCCTGCAGCTTGGTTTCCTCAGACGTCGTGAGAGACCATACTGCAGAACTAGCCGAAGCATGGGGTCATTATCGGACTTCACGAAGGCTCTTCTGTGGCAGGGAGATCAACAAATCACAGCACAAACTGAGGGATGGATGCCGCCCACTCATGTCCACATGAAGCATTATGATGATGCAGGACGTTACACATATTGGCTTTGACAGCCTGGAACACGGTGTTCCATTGCGCGGAGAAGAGCTTTTTTGGCATTGCATTGTCGTGCCGGTACAGGTCCCGGGAATCGGCCGGATCGGCGAAAGCCTCCCCACCTCCCAGAGGCCCTGTGCAAAAAAATCGATATTGGCGTTGTATTTCGGACTTGGATGGCGTTCTTATTTCAGGAGTGTACTTCATCCCTACCCGCAGCCCCTTGAGCCGCTCAGGGTTCCTGCTAGCGTTTTGAGCTCTCCAATTCTAGTGTCTAGAGAGTCTAGAGTCTAAAGTGTTAATCAACACCCCTGGACCCTTCTTCGAGTTTCAAGCTCGAGGTGGCGAATCAGTGCTGAGGGCCGGGATCTTCTAGTCTCAAAGCTACGACGTCCAAGCCATGCATGCTAAAGCACACGATCGAAACTAAGCAAAGCCTCTTCTCACATTCTAAGCTGCTGTCCAAAAAGCTTGTTGCAGCTGGGCAGCATGCTGAAATGCCAGACATTGGGGCTACACTCCCAGTCCTCAACCCTGCGTCACTGCACACTGGTTATGAAATCATGGTAGGAGTTCGCCGAAACGAAGGCCGACCACCATCAATCGAGAAGCACCCAGCCCTCCTGACCGCAGGCACTCTCTCCGCGCTGGATGCAGCGCAGGTCTGGGTTTGCTGTTTCGGACTTCGGAAGCACAGTCAGTTGGACCGCAGACATGGAATGCCGTGTGAGCCCGAACTGCTGCCATCTGGCAGGATCTTGAATGTCTTAGTTTTTGAACTGGCGAGCGTCATGGAGGTTGGAGTTTACTTACAGCTAGCTACATGGTGCCCAAACAGCAAAGACCGGCCCTTGGACATCCAAGATGCCCTGCTTCAGAAGCAGGCGCGCTCGCGGGAAGAAGATGTGCGGCCCATGCAGCAGGCAGGTTGAAATCGCAAAACGAGCTGAATCCGGCGATGCACATTTGGAGGGAAACAGAGGAACTCCTGCGAAGAAACTGCCGAAAGAACAACAAAAGAAGAACAGAAAGCTGCTGGTTGGGCTGTGACTTTCGTGAGTAGCAGCAGTCGTGGTCGTCGTTGTTTTTTGAATCGCCAAGTCCAGCGCCAGGTGCTGCCAGGTCTTCCGGTTCAGGAACTTCGATCTGCAATTCAGCCCTTTGCGCACCACCAGCCGCCACCCGAAAGCCGGCGCAGCCGCGAGGCGAGGTGGATGCTTGCTGTGCAACCGTGGCGAATATAAGGTTTCAGCACGAACGCGGTTACCACAACAGCCAGCTCTGGGAGCCCCAACAAATTGGTTCGATCAAGCAACCCAATACACGATGTCGATAAAGCTTGCAATAACAGGTTACACAAGAAAAGTAGCGATGAAGTTGATGGTAGGCTTATATGCGAGCATTGCACTGCAGAATGTGGGATGCCATGACTTGCCGTGCTGTAGCAACTCGAGAAGAAAGTCAACCCTGCATGTGCAAAGGTCGAGATGCAGCGAGGTCAGCTAGGACACGACGACATGCCACAAGAGCTGGACCTCGAATCAGTGATGCGCGTGAAACCTTGATGACAAGCAAACGCTTGCAAAACTTTGGTGTGGAGCAGCATGGGTTGACATCTAGAAGTGTGAGTGCCCGGTTGGCAGGCTGCTGACGTGCTTTCTCCTCATGGATCTCTCAATGCCCAGAACATGCTGGTCCAGGACACACCGCCTTCCTAATCGTGAAGATCGATCAGAAGCCCCTAGCAATACGAGCATTCGAACCTTAAGCCCCCCAAGCCCTGAAGGCTTCAAAGCCTCTGAACCCCAACAGCAACTCAGAAACCGCTGAGTCCATCGTCCCTCGCAGGGGAGCACCACCAGCTCACGTGCCGCGGGCGCAGTGCAGGCGGCCTTGACGGGCTTCGGAGGTCTTGGACTCTTGGAGGGGAAAAACGGACCTCGCTGACGAGACTGACGCGCTGTTGATGACGAGTGCGGCAACTAGTTATAGTCGGAATCTGTTCGGTCACATTGGATGCGTGTGGGGAGAACCGGCGTCTTTAGTTTCTATGGGCCAGGCCTCAAGAGCTACAGGGCCTTGGGGCGTGCAGGGGACGACTTTTGCAGGGTTGGAGAGTTCTGAAGATCTTGGCGCCCGCGTTGATGTTCTTGCACTTGGGTTATCAAGGGTTCAGAAGCTTTCAGCCTCGCTCGGATCACCATTGTGCCTTTCGGACTTCAAGACTGTTGGACTTAAGATGATGTCGGGTTGCAGAAGCCTTCCTTGGGAGTCACAACTTGGCTTGGTTGCGCGTAAGCCAGGGCATGATCAAGGAGCTTTGCAGACCCACTGCTCCATCTCCAAGTCTGCCGAGCACTTGCGAATCTAAGAGTCTGAGCGATTGACCAGCAGGAGAGAGAGGTTTAAGCCCGGGCATTTTGCCCTGTGCCGGAATCCCATATCGGTCTGCACACTTTGACCAGACAAAGCCTTGGCTGGAGGCACCGAAACAGGTGCCACACTCGCGTCGTGCGAGCGCGGAGGCAGACCCCGGGGGGCCCTTCAGAGTCGAAGCTCCAGGACTCTAGGTGCTTAAGGATCTTAAGGAGCATTTGCTCCGGGCCCGGGGGCAAGCTGGAGTGGTGGCTACGGGTTCGGGATTAGCAGTCGTTCTTGGCGATGTTTATGCAGAAGAGGGGTCGTGTGTGAAGGCATGTTTATAGCAAGGCATGAAGCCGGGCACCGCCTTTATCGAGAGCCTCTAGACATCTCAACAAGAGGCCGCGCCGGGCGGATCGCCGGGCAAGGCAACCGCAGCCTCTGCAGAGGCACGATTGGCGGTTTCACAAACAGGTGTTGGCTGAGTGCCGCCGTTCAGCGCGATTCGCTACCTTACAATTGCTGTCGGCATCATTACGTTATTGCCAGACCAAACAGAGTTGGTGCCTTTTTCTGCGGAGCCGGGCTGTTAGGCTGTCGGTCTGCGGAGTAATGTGGACTCCTGGCTGGGGTGTTGATTGTTGATGGGTCTCTAGAGGACCCTAACCATTGATTGGGGCCTTCGCTGTGGTAGTCCAGTGCAGAATGAAAGAAGTGCTAGCAGTAAGGAAGTTTTGCTGACGCTCCTACTTCTAATGCTTAAACTGAGCCGGAGTCCCTTGGTGCTGTTTGAGTTTCAAGTCACTGTAAAGTCAGGTTCAAGACTTGTTTCCGTTCTACTTGGACGACAAGCTGCTGGAGATGATGAAGCCGAGCGGTCCAAACTGCTCCGATCCAATGCCACTGAGCAAAACTTGTACATGCATCATGATCATACTCTTCTAGAAGCTAAGTAGGCATACTCGAGAAGTCAGGAAGCCTGTTCTTGACTAGTTCATTTCTTCTAGGTGATGCATTCGTTCCCTTTGCCTTCGTCGCATTTGCCGATCCGCCGCTGTAATCACCTGCCGAAGTGGTACTTCCAGACAGACGTAGGCAGTTGGGATTGGGAAAAATGCTCTCATCATGTGCAACGGTGCGAATGCTGTGCTCAACCAGAGGCCCTGCCTCCCAGGGTTCGTTTCCACGGCTTCGTTGACCCAAACGGACGGAAGTTTTGCTAGTTTGGGGGGATTCATTGCGGAAGTAGACGTGACCGCAGCAAGAAGCGACGGGGACAGGGCTCAGGGTTTCGGGTTGGGAACTAGCAATGCAAAGACAGCAGTTGAGAATCAGAAGAGACTAGCATTGTAACGGCTGACACGATGTGGCCTCGACAGTCCAAGATGTTGGGGATCAACGTTGGCGAGTGGGCGTTGAAGAAATGGTTCTTGATTTCCTAGTGAGATTTGCTGGCATGCATTGCCACGTGCTCCAAGCCCGCATAGCAGCAGTTCCAGTGTCCGTTTCGACCCCGCCTGCCCGGTTTGCAATGGCCTCCGTTGCCGTGCCGATGTTCATCTCCTTGGCATGCCTGACTCTTGATTCATTTTGGGGAGTTGAGGAGCCGAATTGAAGCTACCCTCAGACATCATCATAAGCCAAGCATACGATTTACCCTATCTCCTCATACTTGATAACCGAAGCCAAGCTCTGGAACAAGAGCCCAGGATTGGGCATGCCTGGGCTGGGGGACTGCGTGGTGATCTTCAAAACGCTTCGGAGACAACGCCTCGAGCCGCAGCCGGAAGTTGCACTGCAGAAGACGAGAGCAAGATGCATGAGTTCGGGCCTGGTTATGCAGAAGGCACCTTTCCCTTCGTCGTGGCGTATTGCGAAAGGAAGAGCTGGAACTTGGATGGTGGTTTCTACACCAAGGAGTTCGAAGCCTGTGTTATCTCACACACTGATTTGAAGCCATCATGCGCTGCCTGCTTCTCTAAGTCCGCCGTCTACACCTACAAGAACTGTAAGTTTGCCTGCTGGTTCCATTCCTGGTGCGGCCGCGAATGCTTGCGCTGCGTCGAGGAGTCGGCTCCAGAGGTTCGGCAGTGCGCGGGAGTGGCAGTGCCAAGCGTGACCCCTTGCTGAGGGCACCCGATTTTGACAGTCTTCCGGGTCCTCCGGATCCGGCTGACAAGGGCCATCAGGGTCGTGGTGGTAGGATGCTGCCTGTAGCTGTACGGAAAAGATGCGACACCATCTCCAGCATCCTTCCCCCGCAAAGCTCTCACGCCCAATTAAAAGTGGACAGTACAGATATACAGATCGGAGGGAGGGGCACAGCCGCCTCACTCCACCCTGGGTTCACGAGTTCCGCGTGCCTGGGGTCTTTTGGTGCCTTGGGGGATCCTGGACCACTGGAGCCCCTGGCCTGATTTGGAGGAACCCCAACTGCAACGGACCTCCAAGCAGGAGGCCCTACAGAAAGTACGACCACGCGCCGGATCAGAAAACGATCGGCCGAAAGCGCCGACGCGTTCAAGCCTAACCAGACTCACCAACCAAGTCCTTCCCCGGTGCCTCAATTCTCTCTTACTGCGCAGACCGCAGACTTCTGTCCCTCAACCTTTGCTCGCAGCTTCGTGTCTCCTTTTTATTGGTTCGACGCATCTCGATCACCTCAGGCTCTCGCTGAAGAGTCGGGTCTGCGAGGAGCCGGCAAGAACAGCCTGCTGCAACGCTGTCAGGCCGTGCCAGGTTCGAGGCTTTTGAGTCTTGGGGTTCAGGATGGGTGCGAGTTGTTGACGTTATGTGGTGCTTGGGGGTTGAGAGCTTCGGGGGTGGGGCCTTGAAAGTCTCGAACCCTACATCGGAGACTTAGTGCAGGAGAAGACCGTGGTTTTTGAAAGCCTCTAGATCTCAGCTCAAAGCTTCAACGAACCATCACGGGAGTCTGGGCTTGGCAGTGCTGTTTCGGGCTTGCGCACGTCTTTGAAACAGAAGCAGTCTACGATCACATTTTGGGGCTAAGGGCTATACCGTAGCTTTGCTACAGGCATACTCCTTCGCCTTTGGTTTGGTCCTTGGCACTTTCGTCTCCGATGAAATTCTGTCCCATGGAGGAACCCGACCCCACAAAGGAGCTCCGCGTGTTTGCCTTGCTACCCGACGCTGACTGCAGCCATCACTGCAGAGGGAAGGACCGGAGGGTCGCGAATCACCACATCTGACAAGGGACTGTCGCAGAAACAAAGCTGTTCTAGCCGAGATTCTGTTCGCACCTGAGGCTGGAAGCAGGTAAGCCGTTTGAAGCATGGACGTCCTTGTGGTCTGCTTCTGGGCAAGAGCAGCATACCAAAGTGGGATGTTTTCGATGTTCTCTGTAGGACCGGCTGACGAACATCCCGGTCTTTAAGTCCGGTACGGCGCCGGACGTCCAAGTCCGCGTCCAGCTGGACACGAGCAGTCTCTGGCCCAAGGTCAGCAGCATCCAGTGCAGTTGCGTGGTTCCTGGGCTTCGCTTAGTTGCCAAAGCCAAGAAGACCTCCAAGACGAGTCCGAAAAGTTGGGGTCACTCCGTTTAAACCCTAGTTACTGCACGGAACCCCGGAGCGATCTCTCCATAAAGGCTGCCCCCTTCGACCCAGCCCAGGATGCTCGGAACGAGGGGTCCATGGCCTCTTGCCCCAAGGATGCTTCGCTGCCCGAGGCAGCTGCGCGCCTTCCTCTTCCGCCTCAGAGAGTATCGATATCTAAGTCCTGATTCAACGCTCCAAGTTTGTCACCGCTGCGAAACCCGTACAGGCTGTAGCTTCCAATCATCCCACGACAGCGAAAGACCCAAAAAGGGCAGCAGCAGCAGCAGCAGCAGGCGCACCTCTACTGGCGGCAGCGAGTTCTGACCACCTCCGGCGATCCTCTGGGCCGGGCCAAGACGCTTCCACCACCCTTCGCCGAGTCACAGTGGCCGGAGGGTCACTTTGGCTTCATACCTGCTCGTATATAGTTGTAAGTATACTTCACTGCGGTTATAAGTGACTGTGTGTATAGTTATTTGCCTTATTTGTAACCTCTAGCTACTGAGTCATATGATCTTGCATGTGGAGTTGTGTTGCGCTCGTGTTGGGCAGTCCTTCCATCTTTCAGAGTACCACAGAGGGCTCGCGTGCAGTTTCGCGCGGCCTGCGCGTTTCCTCTTTCCACCTCAACACCATCTCCCGAATTAGCACGCCACTTCTCGTCCCAATGATATGTTCTTGATCATCCCTCCATCGGACTCGGCAGCCTAGGCATCGTGGAGTTTTTGACGTCCCTCATCTCGGATGCTGCGTTGAGCGCCGTGAACCACGGCTTGGGTGACCGGGCTACTGAGCTCCGGGCGGCCGCCGGAGGTCTGCTCCGCGGCCCCGACGACCCTGACATCGCCAGGGTCATGCAGGAGGGGTTCAAGAGGGGGGGGCTTCAGGGGTTTAGGGCTCTTGGGCTCTTGGGTTTTTTGGAGCTTATTAGGGGGTGTGATGTGAGGCTTGTGTGTTCCACGTTGTTCTGTTCCTCTCTCGCTTTCTTGCGGGAGGTGCGTCCCATCGCTTTTGTGCAGGACTTCCCGCAACTGGGCACCCTGGATGCGTATGCAAAGGCTCAGCGCAGCCCTCTGTTTTTCCTGCAGTTAGCTGCTCCCCTATGGATGGCAGCCACGATCGGAGAGGAGTCTTTGCGCCAGACACTCGAGGATTACCGCAACCAGGAGGCCACAATGCAAGCTGAGGGAGTTCCCTCGCTTCCCTTGCTTCGGGTCGCTCTCCACACGCCGGTCATCTACAAGTCTCCACAGAAAGGTGCCGGTCTTCGCATAAGCCTTTGACTTTCACTGAGCCTTCGCATACATATATGCCCAGATGCATATGTGCATACACAATGACGGATAGATCGATGGGTGGAGGTCAGCATGCATGTCTGCATGTGTGCGTAGAACGTAAGCATAAGACGGATTTGTACGGACTGCGCATATGTACATATGCAAGTGTTATATGCACACCGACTATATACATCATAGACACTACGCCGAGACCGACCCTAAACAACGGCATGGCGGGAGCCGCAGAGGCCATTTTTCTTCAGAGCACCTCTCTGCCGCGCAAATTCCGACCTGTCTGCAGCTCGCTTCGCGACACACAATTGGTGAAGGACTGTTACATGAATTCTGCTTCATGCTTATTTGCATGTGTTGCTTATAAATCTACTTCCATGCATTCTGGAAATAACAACTTTCTGACAACAACGAGAAGGTGAAAGCAACTAGTAACTAGTCGCCAAAATGGGTCCGGAAACAGAACCAGCTGTTTCTTTCGCTGTCGTTTTGCTGTCGTGTCGCATGTATGTCGCTGTGTTGCCGTGGTTGTCGTTAAGAGTTTATCGCATTCTTGGCCGCTGTTCCGCCTTTCCGAGAGAAACGCAAAAAAAAGTTCTCGAGCTCGAAGCCTGGACAAGAAGCGAGTTTCAAGTTTTCCGGCACTGTGTGTGTGTGTGCGCGTTGTTGTGTTTTGTTCGGATGTCTGTGAATGATGTGGGTTCTTTCTGTTCGCGGTAATAGTGCTTCCATGTTGTGCTTTGTTTGTTCCTTTTCTTGTTTGCTGATTGGCTTGTTGTCGCAGTGTTCTCCAAAATCAGTTATTGCCAAGCGTCCTTAGAAGTATCTTGCAACCGCCGCCGAATTTCCTGTTTGCATCGAGGTACCTTTGCAGGTATGTCTGGGCTATGTTCACGTACGTGTGTGTGTGTGTGTATATATATATATATACACGCATCTACGCATGATTGCACGTATGTGGGCGTTCATGTGCCCATGCACATGAGAGGATGGATAGGTGAGCGCATTCAACGTGACTGACTCACTCATTCGTTTACATACATATACATATACATATATATATATACATATCATTTACACAGACATATGCGTATGTACGAGAATATGTCTTGTAGAGATAAACATGCATGCATACACATATACACACATAGATATGCATACATGTGCATGTCTGCATATGCATAGTTGCCCAAACTCTTGTACGCAGGCAATGCTGAAGCATTCTTGAAAGCCTGCTTTAGATTGTGGGTTTTGTGATGCTTGATGCTAATAGGCCCTGGCCCCCCCCGCACACAGCCCCTGGGCCCTGACAGCAGTCCTCTCCCAGGTGGCAAACTATTTTGTGGAGCCATCCTCATGTTCCTCCTAGAACATGTGCAGTATCTGGACAGCACGAAAGTTGCAGTGGCTCTGGAGCATCTGCTGGAGTTCCAGGCGGAACCCAACTCAACCTACGAGATGTTCCCGATTGGGATTAATAGTGCAATTGGACATTTCTCTGCACTTTGCCTGACTGGGAAGAATCCGCCAATGGTGGAAGCGCTGCTGGAGAAGCGCGCGGACCCTCACCGTCGGAACCTTCTCAATTATTTTCCATCCGGCTCGCCTCTTTGGACAGCTGCTCCACGCCTTGTAATGCACCCTCTCCTAGAGTCTTTGTAACCACCTGAACCATAACCCTGTCTTCCGAAAGGTTCAGAAATCGGGGTTTGCTCTGTTTGGCTATTCAAGGACAGAGCCATGGGTTTCGTGGTCCGAGCCCAGGTTTGGCGAAGGCAGAATTTCGCCATCAGAAAGCTGCTTGATGCAGCTGACACCAGCGTGGGAGGTGCTCGGTCAAAGCAGAAAGCCCGAAACATGTCATGTAGAGCTAATGGGAGACCTCGACAAGAAGGTGTAATTACGGGATAATCATTGACATCATTGCTCGAACAGAAAAGAATCCTGAATTCATCGTCCCCCAGTCGATACTACTGCGGTAGGACGAAAGTTCGTCGCACTCTGTATGTCGCTCTTGCACAGGGTGCAACCCCCTTTTCCCCTCTGACTCCTGCACCAAGTCCTCCGTCCGGAACATTATATAGTAGTATAATTTTATTCCAGGGGATGAATTCCTCCGCTAGCCAGGCCACGTTAAAAGCACTTCTAAGTACTCCGCGTCCTCCGCAAGATGGTGTAGCCAAATGCGACGAAACTTTCATCCTGGTGATGTAGTGCTTCAGAGAGATGTCCTATTCGACAAGTCTATGTTTGTGCCGAGGCGCAGATGCTGAAGGAGTCAACCGGCATGGGTGGCATCCTGACCGTGCTCCCCTGGTGCCTTGGTATGGTCTGCGGGACGGTTCTTTGATGCTTTGCTCTGAGGAGCTCTGCAAGGGTTTTCCAAATGGCGATTGCCATGCTGAGTGTCCAATTCCAGTCTTTGCCAAACTGCGGAGTGTTCGGTTTGAAGGCCCACGATTTTGAAGCTGTCCGTGCTGTGGTTTCCGCTATGGCGCGGGGGCTCGCGAGGATTGGGCATGGGAAGTCTAGCACCCGTCCACTAGAACGACATGTGAACCCCATAACCCTCAAGCCAGCTGGATGAAACGCCAAGGCGGCCAAGACCTCTTGAAACAAACCTCCCGAACCCCAATAATTCAAGGTCGAGGGGCTGTGGGGCTTCGGGTGAAGCATCGTCGTGGCTCGGAGGTGGTTGGCCAGAGAGCGCAGGGCTACAACGTCCTCGAACTGGCGAGCTTGACGATGGGCCTGGAGCAGGCAGGAATCAAGACCTTTCCGGACATCCCCATAAACGGGTTCACTCAAGCGAAAAAAGAGGCTTCAAGGGCCTGTTCTTCAAGCAAGTCTTTTGAGAACAACACGGACCTTTATTCGAAGTTAATGCCGGCGTCAGAAGTGTGGCGGGATTCCAACAGTACGTGCCTGCTTTGGAGATGTCCTGTGTTGCACCCTTGCCATGTCTTTGAAGCCCCGAACTCGTAAACAAGAAAGCTCGCGCACAACGCCACACATCCTGTAACACGGTTGAGGGAAAGGGCATGCAGGGAATAACCTGGGATTTGCTCTCGCAGCGGCTTAAGGTTCAGGAGTTTAGGGGATCATTGTTCCACTTATTGTGAAAGCAAGGAGCTTTCGGCAATTCTGGCACAAGTTGTTTCGTATCGCCTGGTGCCACAGGATGGCTGCACTAGGTGACCAGGCCTGAGTCATCCGAAATGTGTTGTAGATAGTTGAAGCATTGAAACGACACAGACAGGAAAAACTCCCTCGGCCTTCGTTCGCCCCCCAGTGAGATCGAGCCCGTATAGCATCTTCGGCCTGCCATTGACGGCATGCAATGAAGGATGGCAACACTCCGCCCCCCTCCCCCCCGCGGTTGTTCCATGGGAATTCTTGAAGGCTGCTGAAGCCAGAATTCCACGTGCTATTCTTCGAGGAACTGTCATGTGCTTCGTTTTCCGTGAGCGTCATCTTCGATCATGTTCCATTCTCAACATCATGGTGGATTATGCGCACCACAAACCCCAAGCCCGCACACCCTAAACCCAGAAACCCCAAATCATCTCTCCATCCACAAAGCTCCGAAACCCCAATCCCTCTCCAGGTCTCTGAATATGGCCACGGCAGCATAACACCCCCAAACGCTCGCCTCCCCATTGGGAGGTGAAGCTTTTGGTCCAGAGAAAGGCGATGCTTGGAGACGAGCTTCCCCACGTCCTGGCCCGGGTCGAAAACGGGGGGCTTAGGGCTTGGAAAGCGCCAGAAAGGGATAAAAGGGATGTCGTCTCAGAGGTGCCAACGGAAGAAGGGCTCCCTTAGACAAACTCAGTCGTGGTTCCGGCTTCTTCGGGTGCTCTGCCCTATAAAGGTGTGCCTGTGTGTAGGTATGTCGACGTATATACATGTATCTACACATCTACAAGCACGCGCGCACAGATATATATATATATGTATATGTATGTATATATATATATATAGGATTATATAGGTACATACAGACATACAAACATACGTACATACATACATACACATATATATATATATATTGAGAAAATCTGAACCAAAGCTTGGTTTGCAGCTTGGTCGAGATCTCGGGAAACAAGTTATGCAGGTCTAGCGGCCCAGCTTCTCGCTTTCCTTCTGTCAAGTAACAAGCAGGAGTCATTGCTGGCATGGTCCGTGTACTGCTTCAGCCGTAACTTTTGCAGTGCCTGGAGCCCGCGGCAATGCTTCGCAACTTCGCCCAGCGTAAACTAAACTCACGCGAAAAGGTATCACATTATGGCAGCATAATTCTCGCCATTCCGAAGAACCGCTAACTCCCTCACAAATTTACGCTTGACCTTCCAGGCAAACTGCCCTGCTGCAACGGCCAGAGTCTTGTCGCAGAGTCTCGCATGCATTGCTGATGGTGCTTTCCATTCACAACCCATGTCCGGCAGCTTTGAGAACTTTGGCCTGGGATGAAGGCTGTGCACGAAGAATGTCGGGCTTGGCTAGACGGATTGCCCGAGAGCAGCTGTCATGGGGTGCCAGGTTTGTCGGCCATCAATCTTAGCCACTCCCCTGTATGAGCATGGCAACTCCTTGTAGCATGGCCATCGTCGTGCATGTTTTTGTCTCCAGTAGCGATGGTTTTGCCGGTGTCTTGAAAGTCATCTGTGTTGTTGCTTGTTTCTGCTGTTTCCAGCGGTTCAAACAGCAACCATTGCTTATAGGCGTTCAAAGTTGTTGGTCTGAACCCTGTGTGCCTGGAACGTACCGATCCGCATTGCTTCGTCATGCTGATGTGATTTCAATTGTCGCATCCCAGGCAGTGTGTTCATTACTTACTACTATGTTCATCATGTCATGCGATACAGCTCATTTCGTAAGCAATAAAATTACGCAAGAGCAAGCCCTGCATCAACAGTTTCTGGCTGGCAACTGGTATTGTGTCGTGAGTTCGTCTTTTCGCTATCCTCAGAAACACAGCGGTTCTCAGCAGGCTTGCTGTGACAATCAATTGCTACGAACGATCGCTGGATCCATCATGACCTTTACCCTGTGTGTGCCTGGTTAAGAAAACCCAGAGCAAGGCATGTCTTCTGCACTGCAGCACATGCCGCTAGCATTGTCAACGGCAGCGCGCTGGACCAGATGAACGGCATGAGGCACATAATCGAGTCAAGCAAAGGTTTCTCGACTTTGGGGCTTGCTTTCAGGGGCCGTCCATCCCGTGCTTCAGAAGGGTTCCCACCTCTGTCTCACTCGAAGACTTGCACACGGCTTAACGGCAGTTGGGGGCTGGCGGGATTCTGGGCAGCTTGGATTACATGATTCCTTGGTTGCCTACGGGTTTTTGCTTGTCCCGGTATGTTCAGATATTAGAGCATGATTGTTTTTTTCGTTTGCTTCAAAAGAGGCTGAAAGAAACGGCCAGTTCGTTCAACGCCCCCCGGCACAGCCGGACTCTAGTTCTTCGCTGCTTCGCGGCCAGGCTAGAGCTCGTTCTTCGCGAGGTGCTGTGGCTTGGCATCTTTGGTTTCTGCATCTTTTCCTAGGTTTCGCCAGCGAAGAAAAGGAAAGGCAGGGAAAAACCCCAAACCGTGGGGGTCCCGCTTGAGCTTGAACCCACCGAACCCCCTGAGCCCAGGAAGCACGAGGAGCCAAGGGCCTGCCTGGAGAAGGCGGTTTGCAGTGTCAGTGGCGCAGTGAGACGAAAGAAAAAGAAGTCGGAAGAATGTAGACTAGAGCTACCTTTATATTCAAGTCCCTGCAATTATGCTCGTTGTATTCTAGACCTTGGTATTATCTCCCAACACCCAATTCTAGCTATTGCGGCCCCATGTCGCTTGCTCCCGTTTCGGTGCACTTCCTGCGTCCGCTATTTCGAAGGGGTTCTGCTCGCTCTGCGGCAGGTACTCGTAGCACCAAACTCCAAACCCCCTCCTGAAGTGGGGCTTCAGGCCATCTTCAAGGCCTCCGAGGTCGAAAAAGTGGAGGGGATGAAGCAGAAAAGGTGGCAGCTGAAGCGCCGCGGCCAGACATTGGGCCTTGGGCGCGTCGAAGCTAGGTTTAGGGCTTAGGGACGATGTTGCAGTGTGTTTGCGCTTGGGGTGTGGGAACGGGTTGAACATACTTTCGCCGGCCAGGTATCAATGCTAGAGGCTAGAGTTGACACTAAAGTGGCTACAGCTGATGAACCTTGAGCTTGTGTTGTCTCTCAACAAGCCGAATCAGGGTTTCAGGCTTAGCATTATTGTTGGCACTCAAACCCTTCCGAATCTGAGTTTTCAATTTCTTTAGTGGCTATCAACAAACCTTTGGCCCGAAACAGGGCTTCAAGCTCAGCATGTTTTGGCTCTCAACAAAGCCCTTGACCCGCAACAGGGCTTCAAGTTTAGCATGTTTGAGCTCCCAACAAACCCTTGGCCCGAATCGGAGTTTCAAGTTTCTTGTGTGGCTCTCATTAAACTTAACCCTTGGCCCAAAACAGTGCTTTCGGTTTAGCAGGTTTTTGGCTCTCAACAAACCATTGGCCCCAATCTGAGTTTCAAGTTTCATACGTGGCTTTGGCCCTAAACAGGGCTTCAAGTTTGGCAAGTTTGGGCTCTCAGCAAGCCCTTGGACCGAAACAGTGCTTCAAGTTTAGCATGTTTTGGCTCTCAAGAAACCATAGGCCCTAATCTCGAGTGGTTTTGAGCTTTGCTGCTCGATATTATTACGGCGATGTTGAAGGTGACGGGGATGGTGATGATGGTGATGATGCTGTCGACGGTTTCTCGAAGCTCTTCCTTTTTGAAGCTTGTGAAGATAAGTATTGCTACCATGGCTGTACTGTACGTCCTGTTTCTACGGATTCTTATTCCGTCAAATAGGCTCACTTCTGACGGCCACATCGGTACGAGCAGATGCTTTGGGCAGGGAAGGCAAGTTACAGGCAGAGCTATGCTACGGTAGTCGCACTGGCGATGCTTAGAATATGAGCCCAACTACCCAAGTAGCCCAATTTCAATCCACCTACGGAGTCCACAGATCCTCGGACCCAACCGTACCCCCACGAAGCCCCCTATAGCCAGCACAGCCATGGATTGCGACGCTGAGTTCTTTGCCCGAGGAACCCACAGAGCTACAAAGAAATGATGGAAGCTTTGATAAAGGCCTGACGGCTTCCCACTCTGGTAGGAGTGTCGGGGTGGGATCCATATTCATCCAGAGCCCAAGATCTATGCAGGCAACCTCATCCTAAAACCTCTGGCAGCTGTGTAATCTTCCCAGTTCATCTCGGGTGAGTTTGATAGCCGGAGCTGCGGAGTAAGGATCGGAGGCTGTTTCGGATAAAGTTGGGGATGGGGTTTGGGGCGTACGATATCTAGAGGTTCAAGATTGTATAGTTCGCAGAAGTGTTTGTGTACTGCAATCATCAATCATTGGGTGTTGCACAGCACATCGTCGAGGTTGACAACTTTGTTTCAAGTCGAGCGCATCCCACCTTGAACTCAAACATCGGGACTTTCTAGGAACCAAACACGATCTGACCTACTTTGCTTCGCCCCGCAAAACTCTCCGCAACAAGTACCGCTGCACCTCGGGGGACACTAGTACAATCACTACGAGAAATCGGCGGCCTTTGTGGGGCTACAGCACCTGCATTCCGAGAGGTCATTCACAAGGCGCCGACCACAGCTGGACGTCTTCTCGACTCCCGAATCTGTCAGTAACTTTCTGCTTGTGGTTTTGTGAACACATCCGTGGTTCTGAAGCTATCGGCCTTGTGTTTAGGGTAGCTTCCTACAGACCCAACAATCACATTTCTGCTTGTGGATAGTTTTGGCCTACCATGGTTCCATGGAGATGTTGGAGAGTAGTACTGACAGTTGAGTTGTTTGCACCAGCGGTGCCAGCATCACTAATATTGATCGCACCAGAAGCTGCGGCCTTTCTGCTCAGGATTCACAGGCCGGTGCCCCCGATATGGCAGACTCGAACCGCTTCCCACTAACCAGCACCTGCCTCTTCGACAAGCAGGTGGAAGTCGGGTCCTCTTGAGGTACCGAGAACAGAGACCTGAGAGAGAACAGACCCGATTCAAACAGGGCTTGCAGCATGTAACTCAGCGAGCTGTAGGGCGTGTGTTTTAGCAAGGGTTTTTTCAGCTCGCTTTACCAGAGCATGAAGGTTTCTGCTACGGTTTCTGCTACCGTTTGCCTGCCGTTGTGCTCGGCTTCAGAGATTCGGGAGTCTTGCTGAATTTCTCATTACCGGCAATTGGATCTCACCGCTGGATCTTGCATGTTCTTTTCCCACCTTGAAGCAGCGAGGGCGTTGGAAGCCGATGTGCGCACTCTTCGAGCATGAGACTTACCATCCAAAGAGTCCTTGCAGGAGCCGCAGCACGTCGCCTATTCGGAGTACAAGAGGCCAGTTCTTTCGGCTTGGACGGCTCTTCATGGTCTGCAACTTTAAGGTTCAGGGCCCTTGCCCCAAACTACCATGGAGAAACCTCCTGGTCCAATCCCAGGACTCAGAAGCGAATGCTTCTATAGAAAGAGCTCCGAAAATCCTTAAGGTGATCCCACGGGGGTGTCAGCGCTGCGCTGTGCTTGAGGTGGGAGAAGGGAAGCTTTGCCGACAGTTTGGCTCCGCCAGCGACGTCGAAGCGCTCGCTTCGGTGCCTCGACAAGTCGTGTTTATTTTTTATCTCTTCTGCGGCCTCTTTCGGGATGCAGCTGCGGTCCTTGACGCGTAGGGCTTCAGGAGAGAGGGCTTTTCGCCCTCTGATCGGCGTTGGCAGAGCTAGACAGCTAGCAAGAACATTCTTATCATTTCCGTCGTTTTTGCCTTCCACCCTCCTCCAAGGCGGCTGCTATCTGGCTTCGATGGGAGCAAGTCGCTGTGCCTGCAGCTCTGCGAGATCCTCCGGGCCGCGGTACCCGATCAAAGGCACGGCCCGGTGTCAAACGCACGCGCAAGAAGTCTCGCTTGGAGTGTTTGCCTTCCCTTCAAAGGCGAGCCGATGACTGCGCCATCAGCGTGCTTCGGTATCCGAACGTCATCCGAATGGATGTCGTCAAAGCCATGAGGGCCTTGCCGCAGGAGAAGTGGAGGTTGACTCGGGGTACCATGTGGAGGGTGACCTTCTGCTATCAACATCTGAGCTCTCCCCCTTCGCACTGATGAATGTGGCAAGAACCGGCTGCCGCGGGGACGTCCTTGCTGTTCGGTGAATCGGTTGCATTGGAGCGACTTGAAGTACTCTAACCCTTGCGCCCCAAATCTCTGAATTTGTTGAAGCAAGATGCTGTCCCTAATCTACAAACTCCGAGAGGAGCACCTCGTCGGGATCTTCCAGGAGAGTTTCGCCTTTCGAGGCTGGGGGGGGGGGCATGGTTTCCGGTCTAATATTGAGGTGTTTGGGCCTGAATCGGGGATGCGAGTTCATGTTCGTTCAGAAGGCTCCTGAGTAGTACCCCTTTGCCTTTGGTGCTGTTTCTTATGCCCTCTCACAAGCGAAATACAGTGGACTTCATCAAGAGCTTGGACGTTTTCAGAAGCCGGCGCCTTCATGATCGAAACCAGCTACCAAGACGAGTGCAGAAACAAGAATGGTTGGCTCTCTCTCTTCTTGCAGATGAAAAGACTGCAAATTGCAGTGGGGTCCCCATTTTACTTACCCTCACTCTCCATACGGGCCCTCACTGAGCCAATCCGATCCGACTCTGTGAGAACAGCGCACACAGAGCAGAGAGCAGCAGTCAGAGCCTCAGACTGAGCGCTGGTAGGCAGCCCAAAAGGGCGCGGTGTTGGCAAAACACGAATTCTTCCAGTCCTCATACCGGGTCGGTGGAGGTTCCTCCTTACGGCTCTTGGAACTCCCTTCGCCCCTCCCCTTCCCCTTCGGGGCTCACCAGGTATCGCCTACCACCTCTGGAAGCTACACATTCCTCTCTGCAGCTCAACTGCAAGCAGCTTCGGCCAGACGGCAGCCTACGGACCAATGCTGGGAAAAAAGTAGGACAATACCAGCAGCCAGACACAGGTTTATGTACTCTTGTACGTATCCACGAGTCATCCTTTGAGTCCTGTGGCCTCTCACAGTTGCAAGAGCGCTACGAAACTTCTAGTCGCAAGGAAAGGTTCCCTGTGGCACCTTATGTCTCAGATGGCATTATGTTATATTATGCACCTGCTGTGCTTCATTCATGTTCTGCACCAAGACAGAGCAGCTCCCTGAGGCTGCTTGGACGTGTCTACCACAGTGCTGCAGTTTGTGAGCCTCCTGGTTTGGTGGCGGCATCTCGCTTTCGTTTAACCCAGACACCCCACCTTAGAGAAAGCATTCGAAAAATGTGCTCAGTGCTCTTCTTGCCTCAGGAACTTTGCAGACGGCTCCGTCGTCCGCCCCTGCTGGTGCATCTTCACTGCCTGTGTGCTGCTGGACGGGCACGGGGGTGGGCGGGGTCGTGAACCCGAGAAGGGGCTGTGCTCAAAACAAAAAAAGCACTTGCAGATGCAGCGCTCACAGGACACCTCCACCGTGCTGCTGGACCTTTGCGGCTTCTGCTTGCCACTATTCAAACTCCTCTTGCAGGCCAGTCGGGCGGCTGGAGGGCTTAGGCCTGCCGGCCATGGCAACACAGTACAGCAACGACAACTAGTATCGTGGAAGTGTGAATCCTCTTTCCATGCCATCTATCAGTGACTATGCAATTTGCATGCTGGTCACCCCTCACATTGTCGTCGTTCGACCAATTTGTTTTCAGCATCTGGATGTGGAGTCACCGTTTCCGTTCTCCATCAGCCAAGCTCTCTGTAAGGCTTCATGCAAAGAGTCCGAGCTTTGCTCTTCGCGCGAACGCTCGGATGTCCTCCTGAGATCTTTTGGTCACGAAGCATCACGAGCATAATAAAAAAAGCAGGGGATGCTCTTGCTCCAGGCCGGCTTCGGGCTCTGGATGGCCTGGGTAACCTGGGGCGGAGACTTGACGGCGGAGTTCCGGCCGCCCATGGCCACCAACCTGGCGCTGAGCATCCTGGGTGCCTTGGAGAACCGTGGTACCGTTACAGCCGAAGCTGTAGGCGACCCACACAAACAGGAAATCTTAGAGCCTTACGCCCTATTTCGGAGCTCCACATCTCTACACTACACGATGAGGCATTGGAAGTGCCGATTCTTGTCCAGCGACCTCCGTTTACACAAGTGTTAGCAACTCCACAGGCAAGCGTGCACTCAGAACCAGTGCCAAAGCGAGAGTGCGGTCTTTGTGGAAGCCGAGAAGTTGAGGTACCATCTACGAGCTGCGGCTGCGCCTTAGCCTTCCTCAGTATGCTATCGGCTTTGAATGCCTTTGGCGCCCAAACCAGGAAAGCTTCTGCTCTTGGGTTCTGTCCTACCCAAGGTTCTATCCTCTTGGTCTTCCCCTGGGTGGCAACCTGCTGCCAATCATGCCGCTGAGCTGTTGGAGCTGATCTGCCCCTTCCAGCGATTTCGAAGAAGTGCGATAGTGGGCAGACAGAAAGAAGTCGGTCCCAACACCCCTCAGGTCGTGGAGAACCAAACAAGAGCGACGAAAACCAACAGCCAATGCAACAGCAATTGCCACGACCGACCAAAGCTGCAACAGTGGCTAGCAGCTAGTGCTTCGACCACGATGACCACGACAACTGTCATCTGCTCCCACACCACTAGCCCTGATGCTCACCATCACTACTAAGTCACTACTACCAATACGTCTGCATCCTTGCAATGCTGCAATGTCTCGAGGCGGGCTGCGCAGACAGGCGAGTTCATCGCAGCTGGATCCAATAGTTTGAAGAATTCCATCTGGCTTGTTCTTCATTGAAGGCGAGTGTGGCTTCTATGAACAAGCATTCTCGTGCGCCAAACAGAACCTTGCCACGACGATTTGGACTTGGAGGGATCGGGAGGTGCGGTTTGGACGGACACGGTGTCGTGGTTGAGGGTTCGCGAGATTGATAATCCCGGACTCAGCTGCTACGGTTCCGGATTTACGGTTTAGCAGCGTGAAAAGCCTCAGCATCGGAGTGTGCTTTGGAACGTGTCGTTCACGGTTGAACTCGCACTTGTCAGCAAGCGCACCCACACCTCCCATGAACTTGAAGGGATTTGAAGACCGATGCAGTGAGGCAATGCTTATCCTCCTGGCGTGCCTCAGCTGAAGGTTGGTGGGAGCTCTGAGTTGAGGCCTCACATCAGGGCTTGGAGATTTACGAGCATTTGTTCAGCCAGCTTCCATGCCGGTTCCTCGCCATGGCACTCGCTTGTAATGGGACTCTGGGATGCTGTCGGAGGTTTACTCATAATCTGTCAGGACCACTTTGCGATGTCGGGATACAGTGTTGTTGAGTTCTCGGCATCCTTGGTTAGATTTCTAGGTGTGCCCTCCAGACTTTTGCACATGAGTTTTGATTAGATCCTGTACTGTGGAAGAGTTCTGAGCCAGAAACCCCTTTCAGGAAACGATGTGATTCTCTTTCTTCCTCTCTCTCTGTCTGAAGGTCAATCCTGGTTGCCACCTACCTGGCAGCTTGCGTGGAGTTCTTCCAAGACCCGGACGCTTTGCCACCCTGCTCGAGCAGGAACTCCGACGCTGCTCCAAAGGTCTCCTGCCTCTCTCTCCCTCTCCGGCCTCCCTCTCCCCCCGTGCTCTGTCGCTGCTTCGCTCGCTCGCTCTCTCTCCGTCAAAGGCCCGGCAGGTAAACGGATGGGGCATTTAGCAAGAGATGTCAATCGTTCTTTCTCCTCCTTGATTCCTTGATCCATGCTCAGCAAGTTTGTGTGTGGGCAACATGCTACTGAACAGAACAAAGCAAAAGCCAAAAGGTTCTTTCAACATCGGCACAAGCAGGGTCAATGGCAGCTGCCGGCAACAGTTGCAGCCAGAGCCTTTCGCAGAAGAAATCCAAGGCTGCCGGTTGCGGTGAGAACCTGGCAGACCCTCATCATCGGGGAGTCCGCATTGCATCTTGGCATGCTGCACGACGCTGGGGTGTTTGCAAGGATCCCTAGCTCCTTAATTCCAACAGCTCGAAAGAGCAAACCCCTTGTTTCGGTTTCTCGGTGACGGCCCCGCGCTCCTTTGGTAAGTGGCAGCACGCATTGCTATTATGGCGCTTAGCATGAGTTTTGTGAGTATTGCAGTATCAGTTGTAAGCCCATGCAACCATTTCGAAGACGCCGATCATGCGGTTGTCGAGTTCTTTCTACGGGCCTCGCAAGGGATTGCGGGTCTTGGGGAGAAGCCTTGCAAACGTCTGCTCCGGGACGCTCCGCCACCCCGCCACGGAAGCGTCGTATTCAAGATTCCGTATTTGTCAGGTGTAGATGTAGACACGTGCTTGAATCTTATGGAGGGAGCATGGAGCCAGAATCGTCTCGTCACCGGCCGTGAGCGGATCCTCGCAGGTATGATGTGGATGACTACGGACACCATCTGCTGCGCTACCTCTGTGTGTCAGCCTTGCCTCTTGGACATACTTTGGTGACTAAGACAAAGCCATAGTGTTTCAAGGATGCCTAAGGTGGAGAAAAGCTGCGGATGATGCAACACTCTTCTGTATGGGCCCATCATGGGGGAGGGACAAACATGGAGCGAGAACTATGCTTCTCTCAGACGAGGCATTTGTCGTGCTTACCAACTGCTATCAGCTGAATTACGGAGGCTTTCACCGTTCTGCCCTTTCCCCATGTCCGATTCCCAACATGCAAATTGGCAGTGACGGCTGTAGGCTCTGCTTTAGACCTTGAAAGGTTTTTCGTTTGCTTCGTCGTGCTGATGAACATCTTCATCAACGTCACCGGCGCAGGTTACGATGAGCCTCGCTTACACAATGGCTTTCAGTTGCCCTCCCTGCGACTGTTCGAACAGTACCTGCAGCCTGTGCCACCTTAATTAGTTAATTTGATGATATGCACACTTTCTGACAACACGAGGCAGAGCAGCACGTAGCAGGCAGGGAGACGATAGACACGACTTGCTTTGCTGGCGACGGGTCTTGCTCATCGCTAGAATCATGGCTATCAGTGGCCTGTCGTGTTACTATCGAGACCTGATGTCATGTTGGACTCCTGAACCCTAGACGACACAGGAAGAGAGGGCCAAAGTCTTGGGCACACTGAGTGCGGAACGCTTCGTGACCTGCCTGGCCGCTCCGGCTTATGGATGTGCATGTGTTGTGTCCGTCTTGGGTCAGTGATAGTGCTGATAGTGGCTCGGTGACCTTGCAAGGGTACGTAACCCATTTGGGAGGGAGAGGGATGGAGAGGGAGGGAGGGAGGGAGGGAGGGAGGGAGCGGGACGAGGAAGGACGGAAGGAGAAGGAAGGGTCCCAAACTGACGACACTTCAAAATTTTGCAAGGGCACCAAGCGAGACGTGACAAGTGAGAACAAACAGAAGTCACAATTGAAGCCTCTATCCTTGCAAGTTGGGACTGGATGTCCGGGAGTCGCCAAACACCCGGACCAAGCTCCCTGAAGCACCACTGTATACCTGTAACAGGCTACCGACACCATCCAAGTCGCTACATCCCTGCTTGTTTCAAGCCTCGCTGCCCCCACCCGCTACCCCGCAGAATCCGGGAAGCCAAGGAGTTTTCAGAGATCACCGTCCGGGGCCGAATTGGTGCCATGCCGCAGAGGGGCTTGCGGGAGTTTGGCTTCGCATTGCGTTTCATTCAGGCTTTTCCAAATCCGTCATGCCGTGAGTCTAGCTTTGCAGACAGAGTCGTGAGCGCATTACAGTACGCCTGCATGGCCCTGCCTACCTCCACGACGAGCCTTGTCCTGCTTTGTTTCGGCCAAGAGAGAGTCCCTGCTTCCCACACTCTTTCCACCAGCAAAAAGACCCCTAGCAATCCGGTGCCAAAGTCAAGAAAAGAAGCAGAGAGCGGGCGGGACCTTTTGCTTCGCCGAGGCGTCCTCATCGTCGTGACGCTGGCCATGGCTGGCATGGCCCTCTGGGACTTCGTCGAGGGAGCCTCGGCGACAGAGCACGGCTTCCCTGTTTTGGAATCTCTGCCATGTGTTTTTTTTACCAGAAAGACACGTCCTCAGAGTTTCAAACGTCTGACCGGGCTGTGCTCCGCATTCTTCTTCTGGGTATCGTCACCGTGCTCGTGACTACAAATTGCAGAAGTGAGACCGAAACAGCAGCAATCAGCTTGATACTGCGCACAGCCATGAGGAACACCAGACAGTGATGTTGATTGTAAAGCTGCTCCTGCGACGATCAAACAACAAACCAAAAGCATGTGAGACAGACATGTAGCAGAAGCATCAGCGGCATCAGCGGCATCAGCAACCGCAGCAAGACTGCAACAAAGACGACGATCACGATGTCGACTACTACGACTACTACTACTACTACTACTACTACTACACTAACACTACTACTACCTCTACGACGACGACGACGACGACGACCGCGACTACGATGGTGACTACGCGGCTACAACAGCAATAACACCTGCATTCAAGGCAGCGATCGGCACAACCTAAGCAGGGTTTCCGGCTTAATACCCAGAGCGAAAAGAAACAGTATTCCACTCAGGACGCATCGACGCCCTCCTCCTGGAAGGGATCGCACTGTTGGGGTGGATCTGCTACTTGCCTGTCAGTTTAATGCTTGAGATGATGTAGAAACAAAGCAAGGCCAAGCGGGAAAAGGCCTGGGTTCTTTGCATACGCGTTGCAACGGGTATGGGACTGAAGGGCATATCGATGTTTTGCCTTTGTCCACTCCGAAAAATATTTGTTCCTACAGCTTGTCAGCAACTCGGCCCTTGCAGTTTCCTTTTGCACCTCGCTTGCTCAAAGATACCCAGCAGTTCAAGGAAACCTAAGTCCACCGCAACAGCACCAATGCCCCAGATCAATTGAACCACTTGCCAAGCAATTCCACACAAAGCAGGTCTTTACTCGCTCCAGCTGCTCTGGCTCGCTTGACATGGTTCGATGCCCTTCTTTTCTTTGTGCTTTGCCGGTCTTTCGAAACGAAGCTTCGGGGGCTTCGGGGCATGGGGCTTCAGAGAGTTGGTTGGCAGTCCAGTTCCCCTGACTCCTCGGGACAAGTTTTGCCATTTGGACCGGGACTGGACCGTGACTCGTGGCGGTCGTGGATCCGAGAATCTAACTCGCTTACATTTGGGTGCCGAGGCTTGTAATTGTACCCCGAGCCCTGCACGGTCCGACCGATAGAGTCACGCAGACGTAGATCGTAAACCTGCTGGATTGAACCAAAACAAGTAGACCTTTAAGCAACAAACCCGAGCAGCTGTTTGCGGCCATGCTTGGAGTGCTTCTTCGATTCGCCATGATTGAAGCACGAAGACACTCTTGGGGGTCCAGGATTTCAGGGTTTGGAGCGTTTCGGTGAATTGGTTCGGGGCTCTGGCGCGTTTATTACTCGCCACTTGCTCGAGCCCGATTCCTCCCAGCTCAAGTGACCTTTCGCGGACACTCCGTCGTAATTCCGCAGTGGGAAAGCGGATGCCAGGAAGCCCTAGGTCTAGGTGTTGCATCACGCTGGCAGCATGAGGAAGACAGCAAGTAGGCGAAAGGATTAGATAGAAGCGTGTCTAGTGAACGTCCCATGACATTCGTGGTAACACTGCTTGATGCTACCTGATATAAACAGCTTGTCATGCCAGGCGTTTTATCCCGAAACGTTGTGACCGCTGAGCCCTCACCAGGTGGTTTTGCGCGAGGCAGGCGACGAAGCCTCTCCACGAGCTTGGAAGCCCAAGGCGCCGAGTCGAGAGACAAGAGACCTCCGAGTTACCCCATCACGCAGTATTTCTCACTGTCATGTACCACTGCATCTGCATCTAGCGCAAGTGTATCTCTGATTTGCTTCCTTTCACAAATGCGTCATCTGCATTCAGCAGGCCGTCCGTAAATCCATCGGCAACCCCATCTTTCCACACGACCCTGGTTGATTGCAGTTTAGGACATCCAGCATGCCTAAACTCGTGCAATGCACCCCCCGAAACTGTCGTCTAGTTGAAGGTTCAGCCTAAGTAAAGGCTTTGCTCCAGCATCACCCAAAGCCGACTTCCGCTCGAAGCTCGGGCCTTGCAGTGGAGACCCGCGAAGCTCCGGCAGGTATCTTTGGATCTGCCGGCCCGTGGAGCAGGAGGAGCCTTCGGAAGCCGAGCGCTTTGAGGCACCTGGCAGCTGGAAGCTTCGGGGCACTGTGGGGCCGAGAGACTGTATTCGAGACGAAAAGGTGCGGCTCTGCACCCTCCAGCATCCCCGAGGCTCTCGAGCAGCTGATCCGGCAGATGAGCCGACCCTCCTCTTCGGGCGCCTCTTCAGGCAACCCGTCACCCCGTCCAAGTGATTTTGAGGTGCAGGTTGGATACATCCCAGTAGCATCGTTGCGAAAACGATGCCCATATTCAGGAAAGCAAACGGTGGTGCCCATGCTGCTGCTGCCGCTGCTGCTTCTGCTGGCAATCCGCATCCTCTTTTTAGAAGTGCAGAGTTTGCTACCCAGTTCTTTTTCTTTCAGGGTCTGAGGTTTGCCAACCAACATATCCTGTTCACTCCTTTTGAGACTTGGGCAGTGCCGACCAACATACGTCGTTTTCGGGTTGAGGGCTTGGCGGCCACTATCTTCGATGTTGAAGTCGACTGCCATGGTCAAGCAAAAAGCCGGAATGCTGGACACGTGTTCCAGCTGTTTTGTCTGACTCGCTCCTGATCTTTGGCGAATGTGCACGCACGCGCACGTGTGTGTTTGTGTGTGTGTGTGTGTCTGTCTGTCTGTCTGTCTGTCTGTCTGGCTGTCTGGCTGTCTGCCTGTCTGCCTGTCTGCCTGTCTGCCTGTCTGCCTGTCTGCCTGCCTGCCTGCCTGCCTGCCTGGCTGGCTGGCTGGCTGTCTGTCTGTCTGTCTGTGTGTCTGTGTGTGTCTGTGTGTCTGTGTGTCTGTGTGTGTGTGTGCGTGCGTCCAGGGCCGAGGGTTTAGGGTGTACCTTTCTGGTTTGGAGGGACTGAAAGGTTTCGGCGATTTGGGGTTTAG